CTATAAGAATATAAATTCATCAAATCATGATGATCAATATCTTGCTCGAACTAACCTGTAATTCACAACCATTTTTACAAAATACCTTGACATGATAAACACTTACCGAAAATGACTTCTTCCTGAAATCACTTGTCGATAAAGACATTGCCATCATAATACTCACATGTCTTATAAGAGTGTTCATTGATTAATGCACACAATCAATCTCACACCAGATACAAGAAGAGCAACTCAAACTATACCACTCCACATTCATGCTTTAAAAATATTTACGAATAAATCAATAAGGGTCACAACATAGAAATTTTCACATCATAATGTTCATCATATATAATGTTTTTCATTTCAACCCCTTTTTATTCATTATGAAATATCAACTGGACAATTAAAACCTTCACCTCATCTCCTTTCCTCCAAATACACAAACAATGGAAGAAGTACATGAATTTTACTACAATAGAAGATCAGGAGATCACTTGCCACAAATGCATCAATAAATCATGCCAAGAGTTGAGTCTTTCACTTTCTGAATCACTTCCGAAGTCACAAAGTCAATACACAAGAAAGTATTCAAAATAGATTCTCATGTAATTGTACATACATAATTTTCCTTGTAAAAAGGGGTTAATCTACTCAAAACCTCATTTCAGAAAGAAGGTGTGCATCAAAAAAATTTACTACTTAAAAAACTACCTAAGGCTTGAGGAACTCATTCGGGAAATTATTTCAAAAATTTAAATAAGTTCTCGATTACAATTTTAATATTTTTATGAGTTCTTGAAGATAAGTCAGAGACTATCATTTAAAAAGCTTGATTTGAACTCTTAAATCCATAAAATAATGGGTAATAGAATATTTAGGGCCCTTTTATGTATGTTATATGAAATCAATATATGATGTCATAATATGAAATCATGAAATGAAGTTTGTAGAAACAATTTAAACGAGATGAAGAAGAGCAAGATGAAGAAGAAGAAGAAAGGAAAACTTGGAAGAAAATATCTTCACTTCTATTAGAAATGAATCCAAAAGCTCTTAAAAGAAAAACAACCAAAACACTACATTATATAGAACTTAAAATACTAACTAACTAATCTAACAAATCCTAACTATAATTTGTTATAACTAATTTTAGTTAACTAAGTAATAACTCCTTTCTCATTACTCCCCCTCAAGCTGGTAGGTGTGAATATATTCAAAACTCCCAGCTTGGAAACCAAATGCTCATGTTGTGCTCTTGCCAGCCCCTTTGTCATAATGTCTGCTTGCTGTTCTTGTATCTTTAGATATAGTGTTTGAATCAATCCCTTTTGTATCTTTTCTCAGATAAAATGGCAGTCGACTTCAATGTGCTTTGTTCTTTCGTGGTAAAGTGGATTAGCTGATATCTGTAAGGATGCTTTGCTATCACAGAAAAGTTTTACAGGTATATGTATTTCTTCTCCTAATTCTTTGTATAATGCAATGATCCAAACTAGTTCTTATACAGTAGAAGCCATGCTTCTATACTCTTATTCAGCTGAACTTCTTGATACTGTTGTTTGTTTCTTTGACTTCCAAGAGATCAAAGATTCTCCATGTTTGATTAAGAACCCTATCACTGATCTTCTTGTATTTGGACATGCTGCCCAATCTGCATCACAGAAGGTTGTTAATTCTCTGTCTTTCTAGCTGCTCATCAACACTCCCATTGTAGGTTCCCTTTTTATATATCTAACCACTTTAAGAGCTGCTTCCATGTGTGATTTCTTTGGACACTGCAGAAACTGACTTAAAGTATGTACTGCAAATCCAATGTCAGGCCTAGTTAGTGTCAAATATAACAATCTTCCAATTAATCTTTGGTATGGACCCTTGTCTGCCAATACTTGATCATCTGCAACATCCATGGCTTCATCTAGCAATGTATTTGTTAACTTTAAGTTGATGTCTAGTGGTGTCCAAGATGGTTTAGCTGCAGTCAATCCCATCTCCTCTATCAATTCTAAAGCATATTTTCTTTGGTTCATCAGTATGCCCTTTTTTGATCTGCTGAATTCTATGCCAAGGAAATATCTCAAAATTCCAAGATCCTTAATCTTGAATCTAGCATGTAATTCTTGTTTGGTGTGTTCTATTAACACCAAATCATTTCCAGCTATCAACATGTCATCTACATACACCAAGATCACTATTATTTGTGTATGATGTTTCTTTATGAACAATGAATGGTCTAGACTGCTCTGATTAAAACCAAGATCAACTAATGCATCTGTCAATTTTACATTCCATTGTCTACTTGCCTGTTTCAATCCATACAATGATTTTACTAGCCTACACACCATTCCTGAAGTCTCCCCCTGGCTAGAAAAACCCTCAGGCAAAGAAATGTACACCTCTTCATGTAAGTCACCTTGTAAAAAGGCATTATACACATCCATCTGATGTATATGCCAATGAGATCCTGCAGCAATTGACAAAACACTTCTTACTGTGACCATCTTCACAACAGGTGAGAATGTATCCTGTTAATCAAGACCCTCCCTCTGATTGTAACCCTTAGCAACTAATCTAGCCTTATATCTCTCCACTGTTCCATCAGCCTTAAACTTGATCTTGTAAACCCATTTACAACCAATAGGTTTCTTGTGAGAAGGCAAAGGTACTATAAGCCAGGTCTTATTGGCCTCAAGTGCTTGGATCTCTTCTCTTATAGCTGAAATCCATTTAGGATCTGAACATGCCTCCTTGTAAGACTTAGGCTAAGTGATACTAGAGAAAGCACACAAATAAGACTGATACTGTGAGGATAAATTTGCATAATGCAAACAATGTGATAAAGGATGATGTAATGAAGTAGAAGCAGCATATGTGACAAAATCAGTCATCCATGTAGGTTGTTTCCTAACTCTATGTGACTGTCTCAAAGGCATAGAGTCAACACCAGTAGGCATTATAGAGATATAAACATCATCAACCTCATTATCAGGCCAATCAAGAACATCATGTGGAGGAGACAAATGTGAGTCATTAATAGGAGAATCTTCAGTAGGAGATATATCCAAGAAAATAGTAGAAGAGGGAGATGTATTTTGGAAAGGAAATGAATCCTCCCTAAAACTAACATCTGTAGATATGAAAAAATTATGAGTTGCTAGATTATATAACACATAACCTTTTGTAACTTCAGAGTAACCCATATGTACTGCAGGAGCAGCTTTGGCTTTAAACTTATCTCCAGGTGGTAAACACTTAGCATAACACAAGCAACCTATTGTTCTGAGGTGTGTTAAGGATCCTTTAACACCATGAAACACTTCAAAAGGAGACTTGTTGTTGAGAGCTATAGATGGCAATCTATTCATCATATATACAGCCCCAAGCACATAATGACCCCAGTATATAATAGGTATAGAACCCTGAAATCTGATAGCCCTGGCTAGTTCTAGAATATATCTGTGTTTCCTCTCCACCACCCCATTTTGTTGAGGTGTGTAAATACATGTTTTCTTATGTACAATACAAAGAGATGTAAACAAAGCATGACAATTGGAATTGACAAATTCAGTGCCATTATCTGATCTCAATACTTTGACTCTTTTTCCAAATTGTGTACTGACTAGCTGAAAGAAATTTCTTAACACTACCACCACATCACTCTTTAACTTCAGCAAAAATATCCAAGTCATACGAGAATGGTCATCCACAATAGTCAGAAACATTTTATAGCCATCAAAAGTAGGAACATGAAATGGTCCCCATACATCCAAGTGTAACAAATCAAAAATACAAGAGGATCTGTTCTCACTATTTGGAAAGGGTAATCTGGTTTGTCGAGCTAATGGACACACATCACATTTGTCTAAAATCCTTTTGCATTCATTAGGATCAATATTAAAAGAATGACACATAGTTCCTACAGAGGCATGACCCATCCTTCTATGCCAAAGAAGAATTTCCAGCTTATTCTTGGAAGCGACCATTCATTTTGGTGAGCAATCAACACCACTCCCTCTGTGACTCATCATATAGAGACCATTCTTTTCTTCACCAATCTCCAGTACCTTCCCACTTGAGAGGTCCTGGAACACACAATAATCAGGAAAAAAATGAACTGAGCATTGTAGTTCCTTAGTAATCTGAGATACTGAAAGCAGATTATATCTAAAATCTGGAATGTATAAAACATTTTTCACAGATCTTCCATCCATCAATTCACAACTGCCAATATGTGATACCTCTACGATCCCTCCATTTGGCAAATGTACTTGTTTGTTATAATCAGCAATAGGCTTCCTAAAATTCAACATCTCTTTATGAGAGATCATATGGTTGGATGCACCTGTGTCTATTATCCATTCCTTATCATCAGTACATGCATAGGAAGCAAATGCTTTAGAAAAGTTACCTCCCATATTCGAATCAGATAATCTGCACATATTTGAGGAGGAAGGTTCTGGTATATCATCAGCTTTGTGCTGTCCCAGATTAGACTGATTGAGATCTGATGATTTATCATATTGCTGCATCATCTGTAGGTGTTTTTGTGAAGGAATATGGGATCTATTCCAATCAACATGAAGATTATCAGTTCTAGGATAGTTATTGTAGCCTTGATCAGTACGAAAATTAACATGAGCTGCTCGAGCTTGTGATCCATCATTGTGTGATCGACTTTCCTCATCCCTCACATTGTGAGCATGACTTCGATTTTCACCTTCCTTCTCATAAGAATCACTTTGCTGCCCAACTTTCTTCTTGAATCTGAAGTTGGAAGGATATCCAATTAACCTATAACAATTGGCTTTAGTATGACCCATCATCTTGCAATGATCACATTGAGCATTCCAGTCCCTTTTAAACTTGTTAGAAACTTGACGAGTAGTCATAAGAGCTGCTATCTCCAGATTATTAACATTCCTAGCTGAGTTTGCTATGACTCGTTGGCTTTCTCTTTCAATCATCATTGAATAGGCTTGATTAACAGAAGGAAGAGGAACTAGCATCAAGATCTGACTTCAAGCCTGCTCATAAGTCTCATTAAGACCCAGTAAAAATTGTAACAACTTCTGCTGCTTCATGAATTCTACAAAACCTTTCGATTCTGTGCAATTACAACCAGGAAAAGGTGCAATGCAATCAAATTCTGCCCAGCACAATCTCAATTTTGTGAAATACTCTGCGATAGTACTCGTACCCTGTACCAATGTAACAATTTCTCTATGTTGTTGAAAGATCCTTGATCCATCCGTCTTATCAAATCTCTCCTTAAGATCTCCCCAAACAGAACATGCATCTGTAGAGTAAACAATTCCACCTAATAATTCCTTTGAAACACAATTCATGATCCATGAGAGGACAATTGCATTGCATCTCTCCCACAAATCACTCAAATTAGGACCAAATATATCTTTTCTGCACTTTCGATCGATTAGCCCCAATTTGTTTCTTCCAAGTATGGCTATTCTCATCGATTTTCTCCATACGGAATAATTCTCAGCACCTGTAAGTTGAATGGAGATCAATACAACTCCTGAAGTGTCCGCAGTACTCAAAAAAAGAGGATGATTGTGACTAAGTTTTTCCTGTAACTCATTGTCGACAGTAACAGCCATTGTTGAGCTTCATCTACAACTTTAATTCTGCCTTGCTAAACTTTCAATTCAGACCATATCAATTGCTGATAGCTTTGATACCATGTAGAAACAATTTAAACGAGATGAAGAAGCGCAAGATGAAGAAGAAGAAGAAAGGAAAACTTGGAAGAAAATGTCTTCACTTCTATTAGAAATGAATCCAAAAGCTCTTAAAAGAATAACAACTAAAACACTACATTATATAGAACTTAAAATACTAACTAATATAACAAATCCTAACTATAATTTGTTATAACTAATTTTAGTTAACTAAGTAATAACTCCTTTCTCATTAAAGTTGAAGTTTTATTTGGAAAAACGATATGGAATATTTCAGTTGTATATTTTCTAATTAACATAAGGATTCCATAATTCAATGATTAATAAAATAGAAATATTTATTTATTCAATCTTATCAAATAAATGAAAATATATAAATCGTATAACATAAGTTATTACAAAACTATTTCTTCTCCAATGAAGTAATTGTCATCTAATATTAGAGGATCAAACTTTAATTCAATAAAAAATTTGAACATCAAATGTATTAAAGTAGTCTTTAATATAATTCGGCCCATAGTAAGGACAATCTTCTCATATGGAACTTGCATCTTTCAATTATACAACAAAGAGAAAGAACTAACATTGTTACTGTATGCCATTTATTTGTTAAAATCATACGCAACTACATTTTTATGCTCATAGACAACATATATTCATCACCCTATGGTACAATAACAAATAATTGGGTTACACTCCAAAAGTTATCTTAGTTTTCTCTTGTGTAAAAATATCATATATTTCATGCTTGATTTACTTGAGTGCAATTTCTCATTTTCAATGAATAATTTTCTTCTAAAATCAAACATATAGGAAGTACTGATCATCAAAAATACATCACCAATTTTTTACAGTTTCATATTAAATTGCTTTAAAATTTTCATATATAGGCGAAGGAGAAATATAATTTATTACCAAATGGGTGTTAGTCAGTCCCTTCGTATTCACACACCAAATTAATTCTTACTTTATCATATATATTAACAAAATTAATAGCAATTATAAATTTTATATTGGTGAGAATAATTAATTTTAAAAGTAATGATGTGGTTATTATTTTTATTAACATATGAAATACATGTTAGATAGATATAACGTGGAGTATTTTTAACAAAATATAAACTTTTGGGTAGATTTATGTATTTAAAATATCCCCAATCATGAAATATTTGATATTATTATTTTTGGAGAATATGATATTTAATCTCATTATATGAAACGTGTGAAATCAAATGTTCAAACATCGATTAAAACTCACCATTGCACATCGTGATATGGTATTGCATCGCCAACGCCAATGTAGAGTTAAGAATCCAAGTCAAAAGATTTTCGTTGAGAACTGTCACGACCCAACTTACCGGGTGCTATGATCCCCTACTATAACACTTAAGTCGAAAGACACTTGATCCCCAAACAATGCGTAAGATTAAGATAATTTGAGATAAAAAATATGCTTATGAGAAATTTTCATAAATAAGACTTTTAAAAATCCAAGTTAAATTTATAAAATAAATAACTCCCTAGGGATATAGTATAAAAAGGCATGAGAGCTTTTAAGATTACAGGACTAATGACACAAACCCAACCAAAGAGAACGGAGTTTAAAAGCTACTAGAGATTGTCTTCGACTTTACTGATGAAACATCACTGACCTTGCAACTAGAACCATAATTCAAATATCATGTTAAAAGCAATATACAATTCCACAGTATCTATGACAGGTAGATCGGAAAGTAGGAGTAACAAATGGTTCTCTCTTGGAACCAACATCCAAATTGTTAGTGTCAAAAAATTTGACACGTGATTCATTATATATATGTCAAAACATGAAAACCAGTCTAATGTATTTGTTGAAACTTTACACCAGAACAAATATATGTATCAAGAGTTAATAACTAAAATAGTACATGTGTCGAAAGATGACATGATGTCCACACATCACAACGTCGACAATAATCATACCCATAATGAATAGTTCACATATTTACATGTCCATGGCATGAAATTTTCGTACTTAGTTTTAAATTAAGTTCAATTCCCATTTCTCTATTCACATACTTGCACGCATCCAGTGGAGTAATTAACAAGCATATATAAGACACAGAAGAATTCAAACCATCACCTACCCCTAGTTCACTTTTCAAGGATTCCCCCACGGTATATATCATATTGAACAACTAGGGGTACATGTACAACCGTCCTTTTTATAATGCTCAAAAACCTGCTCGAAAACCTAAACTTGAAATCTACCATCAATTAGTAGTGTTGTATGCATTGAGCTCTAATTTATGACTACTAAAGCAGCTGCAGAGGGACAATAACTCCAATATTGGCTTTTTGACAATGATATAGTGGATTTGGCTAGAAAGTAGCTCGTATTATTATCGACCTCATGCTAGAAATCTATTTATTCTTCCTTCTCAAGCCTAGAAAAACATTTAAGGGTTTCTAGGGTGATCTTTCCTCTTTGTGGCACTTAGGGACAAAAGAGAAAATAATACATTGTATCACTAATGCCTTCCCCAGACATTGCCTTTTAGGAACTCCTATTCCGGTGGGGCGCCATCGTCATAGCATTCAACTCTGTTCTGGAGAGATAGGAGGGCCTAGTTAAACATGACATATACTAATTTACCCCTAATTTATCCTCAAATTCCAGGTGGAGGAGTAAGAACAATTCAAATTTGGAGTACTTGAAAATTAACAAATCATCTCATTAAGGGACAACGAAAGATAGTGATTCCCAATGTATGAGCACGAAATGATGTTACCCTAGGAACCAACTAGTAAAATGACACAACATACAAAGGAAAAGAACACCCATTTTCTAGGCCTGAACCCTCTAGAGTTGTTACATTCCTATTAAGGTATAACCATTCTGGTGGGACCCTCTAATCGCTGTGGGAGGTTGGGACTACTTTAGAAGGGGAAAGGGGAATAACTTCCCCTCTTACTCCTATATAAACCCCAAAATTACAAAAAATCTCTCAATTGCTTCTCTTCGGAAGCAATTCATAAGGTACAATTATTCTTTCCTACTCTAATTATTACAATACTTGCTTGGGATTAAATACATGAAAATAAATGGTTTGATAGAATGGACTCGGGGTAGTTTTCAAATATTTCACATGTGTTGATTGATTTGATAAAAAAACGTAGCATGGACAGTTTCTTTACATCCAAAATTTCTTTACAACGTTCTAACCAAAAGGATTTATTTTGTGATACTCTTGTTGAAATGGTTCTCAACTTGGTGAAAGAAGTTAAATATTTTTTGGGTAGAAAATTGGAACTCAGGCACCATTTAAGAGTTTAAATCTAGGGACTTTGCATATTTATGTACTTGAGTACTCTAGAGAAGAACTGATATGGTGGAAAATTTGATTATTATGAAGCTTTGGGTTGAAGGGGCGCCATGATTTCTCCTTGAAGATTGACACTGATGAGGGCCGATGTTGCAGCCTCAAACCCATTATGGTTGCATCTAACCTATTGTTGAAGACTTAATCCAACTAATGTTGGATCCTATTAAATAGTGGCATGTTGCCACATCAAACATAAAGTTATCCTTACTTACTTTGATATTAAATAATGTCGTGGAGTTCTAACGTGTACATTTAATTATTTTTACAAGCTTTTCTAACCATTACTTTAATCAATAATGAATTTTTTCATTCCTTTGGTTCTCAAAGTTGCATGTACTAAGACAAATGATGATCACTGGAACACCAAATATTTGCGTGAGAGGGGTTTCCACCTATTAAGCTTAGCATAGAAAGAACCTACCTTACATGCCCAGCTAGCAGAGAAATACTCCTTGGTGTTTACTAGGGCTATCCTCACCATACCATATGAATCCAAGGAGTCGACATCCTCCTAAGCACTTAGTTCATCAACGAGGTTCATGACGTGCCATAGTTCAAACTTAGAGTACAACACTAGATTAAGGGAGATGCATTGGGTTGGCTGGTGGAAATACTAGTTGAGGTTGTGTGCCAGAACCAAGTTTACTCGATTGTTACAAATGCCATCACTATTACTCAATGATCATGAGATTCAAAGAGATGGTTGCACCATGTGTCTAGGAGGATGGACCTATCGAGAAATATCACAAATGTAACTTTTCCTAGGGCTCTAGTGGTTTCTTCTGTGCTTGAGGGGATTAGGCTGAATGGGGGGCCACAGATCATATCCTAGTTAAAGATCTTCTACCATTGAAAAAAGAAAGGTTTCTTCCTATCTGAACTAGTTATAGCAATATGAAAGCTTGCATGGGTTCCACTCTTGGATACTTATGATGTACTTTCTATAGATCCCCATTTTCCTCCTTTCCCTATCAGCAATCCTCTACCTAAGAAGAAAGAAAATAAAGGTGGGTAAGGCCAACACCAATCGCGAAGCGGATGAGGGGATGATGAAGGAGATCATGATGAGGTCGGTGATACCTTCCTACCCTTTTTAAAACCCCACTCTCAAGCCCTCGTGCATAGGAGGACCTGATGGACATTCCTAGGAGATTGGAGGGTCATATCCACCTTTTGATTAAATTGAGGTTTGATCTCTCCCGCCAACTATATTCTGTGAAGAAGAATAATATAGAGAGGGATTGTGTGATAGGTTGAATGTGGAAATCCATTATGGTGATTTTTTGTTCATTGGCTTCCTATTGGCTTCTTAGGTTCGAGCCAAAGGATTTTCAAGAGTATTCCTACTTGAGTACGGAAACACGCTGGTAATTGTTAGTTTTATTTGGATGTGCACAGTTTCTGCATTGGTCTTTAGTGATGATAATTTGTTAATGTGTACTTGTGAACAAGGATGGAGTTTGCATTCTTGGGTTTTGTCGAAACATGAGTAGACATTATATCAGATGTAGTGGTATGATATTAGAATAATCATTAGTTTAGGTGTGGATTCTA